TGTTTATCGTCGCATGCGAAGCGACCGTGAACGCATTGCAAAAATGCTACGCGCAACAGGAGATGAAGAAGCACGTAAAATCCAAGCGGAAGCAGATAAAGAACGGACAGTCCTTTTGGCCAATGCGAAACGCGATGCAGAAGCTTTAAGAGGTGAAGGGGATGCAAAAGCCATAGAAATTTATGCCACCGCCTTCAAAAAGGATCCTTCCTTTTTTGAATTTTATCGCTCTTTAGAAGCCTATAAAAAGTCTCTTGATGGCGAAAATACAACGATGGTTATAACACCAGAAAGTGAATTTTTTAAATATTTAAACCGTTCAAAATAACGGATTAAGGAGTTTGAAATGATGATCAATCGAAATAAATGGCTTCAAGTTTTAAGTTTGGGACTGATTCTATTTTTTGGGGCTGGAGATGTTAAAGCGCACGATAAAGGGTTTGCAGATGTTGTCGCCCCCTTATTACCAGGTGTTGTAAACATTTCCATAACACGCGAAGTAAAAGCGCCGAAGGGGCCTGCAATTCCCCCAGGATCTCCCTTTGAAGACCTTTTTAGACAATTCTTTGAAGGACAAGGCGGTATGATGGGAGGCCGTGCTCGAACAGTGAAATCTCTTGGATCAGGATTTGTCGTTGATCCTTCTGGGTACATTGTTACTAACAACCACGTGGTTGCAGACGCACAAGAAGTTCTTGTAACATTTCAACCGACAGGTGATGATGAAGAAACAGAATTAAAAGCAAAAATAATTGGGCGTGACCCAAGAACAGACTTAGCGCTCTTAAAAGTTGAGTCAAAAAAACCCTTAACAGCATTAAAATGGGGAGACTCCACACAAACGCGGGTTGGAGATTGGGTGATTGCCATTGGAAACCCGTTTGGTTTAGGTAGTACGGTAACGTCTGGAATTATTTCTAATATTGGCCGTGATGTCACAATGGGACCTGCGCAGTATATTGAAGGCTTTTTACAAATTGATGCCCCTGTAAACCAAGGAAACTCTGGTGGCCCTGCAATTAACGCACGTGGTGAAGTTATTGGCGTTATTAATGCCATTGCCACCACAACGGGCGGTAATATTGGTATTGGATTTGCAATCCCTTCAGAAGTTGCGAAAACAACAATTGAGCAATTAAAAAAATTTGGACGCACACGCCGAGGCCGTTTAGGCGTTGGTGTTCTTCCTGTTGATAAAGAAAAAGCAAAGTACTATGGCTTGATCAGGCCATATGGTGCAGAAGTTAACGAAGTCAATGAAGGAGGACCTGCAGATAAAGGTGGCATTAAAGAAGGAGATATTATCCTTGAATTTAATGGCCAAAAGATCAAATCATCCCGTCATCTCCCCCGTGTTGTCGGAGAAACACCGATTGGCCGCAAGGTTCCCGTTGTTGTTTGGAGAGACAAAAAGCGTACCACACTTTCTGTACAGGTCGGTGATTATGAAGAAGCTGAAAAAGTTGCTTCTGGAAGTGACCTAGATGAAGCAGATGAGGCAGATGAGGATGGAGGCGATGTCATTAAAGAACTGGGCATTACTCTACATCCACTTAACCTCTCAGCGAGAGAACGCTATCGTATTGCTGATGATGTGCAAGGTGTTGTCATTATCGGTATGGACATGGAAGGCGTTGCTGCGTCTAAAGGGCTCCGCCGTGGTGATGTTGTGATCTCTGTTGATGGGGGTAATATTGCTTCAATCAAAGATTTACGCAGCGCCATTGATCAATCTAAAAAGGAGGGACGCGAGTTTATGCGTTGGCGTATTAGTCGCCAAGGGCGGAATTTATTTGTTGTGCTTCCCACAGATCCTGATGGTGATGACACACAATAATAAAGTCTTTATCTTAAAAAAAGAAGGGAGAGCTTGAAGCTCCCCCTTCTTTTTAAAATACTTTAAGAGAAGAAGTTATGGAACAACGAACTTTTTTGGTTGGTCTTGCCGAAGAAAATCAAAGTGCTTCTTTACGCTTGGATTCTTATTTAACTAAGATTTGTGAAGATTTATCAAGATCTCGCCTAAAACGCCTGATTGAACAAGGACATGTCAGCGTTCAGGGACAAGTTATTCTTTCTCCAAAACATCGATTAAAGCCTGGAGATTCTATCCATTTAAATCTTCCTTCTGTTAAACCAACGCATCTTTCTGCGCAGCCTTTAGATCTAGATATTATCTTCGAAGATGACGACATTATTGTCATTAACAAACCAGCAGGATTGGTCGTTCATCCTGGAGCTGGTAACCCAGATCATACACTTGTCAATGCGCTCTTAGCTCATTGTGGCGATAGCTTTTTGAATATAGGAGGACAAGAACGTCCTGGCCTTGTCCATCGCTTAGATAAAGATACAAGCGGTTTAATGGTTGCTGCAAAAACAGAGCAAGCTTACCAAGGCCTTACAAAACAATTTTCTGATCGTACCATTAAACGCATTTATCAAGCTCTTGTTTGGGGAATCGTTAGCCCTTTTCAAGGAAAGATCGACCAACCAATTGCGCGCCACCCCCGGCAACGTCAAAAAATGGCTGTTTTACGCAATGGCCGCCCAGCAGTGACGCATTATCAGGTATTAGAATCTTTTCCTCCTTATTTAACACTGGTTGAATGTCAATTAGAAACAGGACGTACCCATCAAATTCGTGTCCACATGACCTCTATTCAGCACCCTCTTTTCGCAGACTCGGCCTATGGGCGCCCTCCAAAGGGCTTATTTATAGATGACCTGAAAGAGGCTTCTCAAAAATTAAGACGGCAAGCATTACATGCAAAGTCCCTAAGTTTTCTTCATCCAATCTCTGGAGAAAACATTGATTTGACTCTAATTTGCCGGAAGACCTTATGATTTTATTAGAAAATTTACGTCATTCATCTTTTTTAAATAAATAATCGATAAAATAGCCTTGACAAAAAGAGGTTATAAATAAGTGATTATTTAGAGAGAGAAAAGAAATTATCTCCACGTCGGGCAACGGAGGATAGCCTTGCGTATTATGTCCGTTTGCTAAACCGTTATCCAATTTTAAGTGCTGAAGAAGAAAATCAACTAATAGAAAATTGGCTTCAAAACGGAGACCGACAATCCGCAGATCGTGTTGTAAAATGTCACATGCGTTTAGTCGTCAAACTTGCCTGGAAGTATCGTCGTTATCAACTCCCTATGTCTGATCTGATTTCTGAAGGCGCATTAGGCCTTTTAGAAGGATTAAAACGCTTTAACCCCGAAAAGGGATTTCGTTTTTCAACCTATACCGTGTGGTGGGTGCATGCTCGTATGAAAGAATATATCTTACATAACTGGTCTCTCGTAAAAATTGGAACCACGCGTGCTCAAAAGAAGCTCTTTTTTTCACTACGTCGACTTAAAAGAACGATGGACTTATATAGTTCTGCAGCAATGACACCAGATCAACTTTCTAAAATCGCTAAAGAAGTGGGCGTTTCAGAAAAAGCTGTGATGCATATGGATCGACGCCTTAGAGGAAAAGATTACTCTTTAAACGCTCCTTTAGGAACGGAAGATGGCGAGGACTCAGAATGGATTGATCGTGTTGAAGATGAAACTGCAAGCCCTGAAGAACGCATGGTTTATGAAGATCGACAACAAAAGGCCCAAAGCTTTATTGCGGAAGCTTTAGAACTTTTAAAACCTCGTGAAGCAGATATCATTCATCGACGTCACCTCAGTGATACCCCCATGACTTTAGAAGCCCTAGGCCATGACCTTGGTATTTCCCGAGAACGTGTTCGACAAATTGAAGTCGCAGCTCTCTCGAAGCTCAAAAGTTCATTAGGGGATATTGTGCACGCTCTTTGATAGACTTAGAAGAGGAAGTAGCGCTAGCAGAATAATAAATTCATGTTGCGAGATGGATTACCTCCCCTATCACACTACTTCTGAAACTATGTTTTTCTACTTTAAGCGCCCTTTAGCTTTGTGTTTCACACTTAACCGTGATACTCAGAAAATAGAATATTTTATCATTAGGACTGTGGCATGATCAAAAAAGAAACAGATGTTTCCCCTGCTCAAGCTCAAGAAGGATACCAAGTTCTTGCTCGCAAATATCGTTCACAATGTCTAAGTGATCTTGTCGGACAAGAAATTCTTGTCACCGCCCTCTCTAATGGTATTGAATCAGGCCGACTCCCCCATGCCTTTTTATTTACAGGAGTGCGAGGTGTTGGAAAAACCTCAACAGCGCGTATTCTAGCCCGTTCTTTAAACTGTATCGGCCCTGATGGGCAAGGCAAAGAAACGATTGACCCTTGTGGCGTTTGCGACCCGCCAGTCGAACCAGTGTCGAAGATATGCGAGAAATTATAGAAGCTGCGCGCTATAAACCAGTTTCTGCTCGATATAAAATCTATATCGTTGACGAAGTGCATATGCTTTCTAAAAGTGCTTTTAATGCTTTACTAAAAACACTGGAAGAGCCTCCCGCTCATGTGAAATTTATCTTTGCTACAACTGAAATTCACAAAGTGCCTGTAACGATTCTATCACGGTGCATGCGTTTTGATTTACGTCGACTCCGATTAGAGGAACTTTCTGGCTTAATGTCAGACATCTTAACAAAAGAAAATCTTTTCTTTGAAAAAGGAATTCTAGACCCTCTAGCAATTGCCGCAGAAGGATCCGCCCGTGATGCTTTATCTTTATTAGAACGTGCCATTGCATTAAGTGGGGAAAAAATTACGGAACAAATTGTCCAAGAGATGCTAGGCCTTGCTGCTGGTAATGAAGTCGAACAACTTTTCACAGCCTTAAACTCTGGAGAAACAGCAAAACTTTTGCACTTATATGAAGATCTGTATCAGCGTGGACGAGCTCCTCAAGCCATTTTAAAAATGCTATTGGAGCATGCCTCCAAACACATTAAACAGCAAGCCCTAGGAAAGGAAAACAACTTTTCTGTACCTGTCCTTCATCGCTTGTGGCAAGGCCTTTTGAAAGGGCTTAATGATATTGAACGCGCACCCCTTGATTTTCAGGCGGGTGAAGTTGTATTGCTCCGCCTTAGTCATTTAAGCCAAATGCCTGATCTAGAATCTCTAATTCACCAACGCAGATTAGAGCCGCACACGCCTTCTATGATTTCTTCAGAAAAAATGTCTGCAAAGGGACCTGAGACCCAAGCATCCCTCAACCAAGCAAATACCACCCCCTCGGCTCCTTCACTCGTAGAGAACGCTCCAAATTTAACTTCCTCCCCAACATCTGCAAACTTTCCTTCCCCAACACTTCCACAAAGTTTTGAAGAACTCGTAACCTTCGTTCAAAAGCAAAAAGAACCCTTATTAGCGGCACAACTTAAACAAGATGTTCATGTGATTCGTTACGCTCCAGGGCATTTAGTGGCTCGCCTTGGCGAAAAGGCCTCTCAAGATTTGTGGAACCGTTTACAAACAATTTTAAAAAAGAGCTTTCCTGAAACATCTTGGATCTTAGAAACAGCTATGGAAGAGGGGGCACCAAGCCTTGTAGAGCAAGAAGAAAAGGTGCGTACTGACAAAAGAAAAGAAGCTTTAAACCAGCCTTTAGTCAAAAAGGTTTTGGACACATTTCCCGATGCTGAAGTAAAAGAAGTAAATGGACTTTAAAATAAGGAAAGCAAGAAAATGAAAAATATTGGACAACTGATGAAGCAAGCTCAGGCGATGCAAGCAAAAATGGCTGAGGCGCAGGAAGAACTCGCTCAACACCAAGAAATGGGACAAGCAGGAGGCGGCTTAGTATCGATGACACTCACGGGCAAAGGTGAAATGGCATCTTTAAAAATCGACCCCTCCGTTATGAAAAAAGTGGAAGCAGATATTTTAGAAGATCTTTTGATCGCTGCCTTCAATGATGCAAAGAAAAAAGTAGAGGCGTACGCTTCTGATAAAATGACCAATGTGACGGGTGGACTCTCAATCCACGGACTTTCTTAAATATCACAAGGAAAGCTTTATGGATGCTGCTGCTTCATTATCAAAAGGTCCCCTAAAGACCTCTGGTGGAGGGTCAGAAGTTGAAGAGCTCATTCGACGACTTGGGCGATTACCAGGTCTTGGGCCACGTTCTGGTCGTCGAGGCGCCCTGTATCTGCTTACTCATCGTGAAGAGGCTTTAAGGCCTTTAATTCAAGCCCTAGAAAAGGCATATGAAAATGTATCAGAGTGTCAAACTTGCGGAAACCTCGATACCATTAATCCTTGCAAATTGTGCCGTGATGATCGCCGTCTTAAAAATACAGTGTGTGTTGTAGAAACAGTTGCTGATTTATGGGCTCTTGAACGAACACAGGGCTATAGAGGACACTATCATGTCTTAGGAGGGTATCTTTCTGCACTTGATGGGGTAGGGCCAGAGGATTTAAATTTACGTTCTTTGAAAGAGCGCCTTGATACACACCCTATTGAAGAAGTCATCCTTGCTTTAAACGCAACTGTTGAGGGACAAACCACTGCCTACTATATCGCAGATCAACTAAAAGATTTTGGAGTCAAAGTGACTGCGGTTGCTCATGGAATTCCACTTGGCGGAGAGCTAGACTATCTCGATGATGGAACTCTTTCTATGGCTTTATCCTCTCGCAAAGACTTGTTGTCTTTATCTTAAAATAGCCTTTGTCTTAACAAATGTGATCGCTTTTGAATTTTTTGACGAAAAGACTTAAGAACCACGTATGTAGATTTCCCGCTTAAAAAACGTTACAATTTTCAAAAATTTTTATTTAAGAATGACGCCAATATTATGGAAAGTCTATTTTCAGATGCTTATCTGCTATCTCGGATACAGTTTGCTACAAATATTACTTTCCATATCTTATTTCCAAGCATCACAATCGCTCTTGGTTGGCTTCTTTTCTTCTTCAAAATTCGCTATAGAGTCACGAAAGAAGAAAAGTGGATGCAAATCTACTTCTTTTATACAAAAATTTTCGCCCTCAGTTTTGCCATCGGTGTTGTCTCCGGCATTACGATGTCCTTCCAGTTTGGAACCAATTGGCCAGGATTTATGGAGACCGTGGGGAATATTGCAGGTCCTCTTCTTGCCTATGAAGTGTTAACAGCTTTCTTCCTAGAAGCGACTTTTGTGGGAATTATGTTGTTTGGTTTTCGAAAAGTTCCTAACTGGCTTCATAGCTTTGCGACTTTTCTGGTTGCTGCAGGAACAACCCTGTCTGCATTTTGGATTCTCGTTTTAAACAGCTGGATGCAAACTCCTGTTGGGTTTGAAATGATTGACGGAAAAGCTCACGCCACTGATTGGATAGCTATTTTGTTTAACCCTTCTCTTCCCTATCGCCTCAGTCACACCTTAATTGCTTCTGGATTAACAGCAGCATTTCTTATTTCAGGAATTTCAGCATTACGCTGGCTTTGGGGAGACAAAAGCCCCGCTGTTCAATCTGCTTTAAAAACAGCGGTTTTTTTGAGTGCATTCCTCACCCCTCTTCAAATCTTTATCGGTGACTTACATGGCTTAAACACAAAAGAATCCAGCCGCAAAAAGTCGCGGCCATGGAGGGTATTTGGAAAACGCAAGAAGGAGCCCCCCTTCTATTGTTTGCTCTCCCTGACGAGCGCTTACAAACAAATCATTTCGCTCTAGAAATTCCAAAACTTGCAAGTTTAATCTTAACCCATGAATGGGACGGTGAAATAAGGGGATTAAACGACTTTGAAGCTAATCACCCTCCTGTTTCTGCGGTTTTTTGGTCGTTTAGAATTATGGTTGGTGTAGGCATTTTAATACTCCTCTTTTCTTGGATTGTGGCTTTTCAACTCAAACGCAAGCAAAAGCTTTCTCCCTTCGTAGCACGCGGCTTTGTCTTAATGACTTTTTCCGGATGGATGGCAACCCTTGCCGGGTGGTATGTTACAGAAATTGGTCGTCAACCTTGGCTTGTCCAAAATGTCCTCAAAACTGAAGCCGCCGTCGCTACAATCCTTGCCCTTTTTGTGAATGCAAGCCTTGTAACGTACCTAAGCGTTTATGCTTTAATCTTGGCTTCCTATATCGCAACTCTTTTCTACATGGCACACCAAGCAGTCAAAGAGCCTCTAAAAGGCCAAAAACCCGGTAAGAGAAGAATGCTATTCAACGTTTTCACAAAAAAAGCGTGAGGAGGAGGATTTTGGAATAATTGAAGAATTAATCGCAACAGGATACTGGCTCCCCTATACTTTTGCAGCACTCATGGGTCTTGCCGTTCTCATTTATGGTGTTCTTGATGGCTATGATTTAGGGGTGGGGATCCTAACCTTTAAAGCCTCGGATAAAAACCGAGACTTAATGATTGCCTCCATCGGCCCTTTTTGGGATGCAAATGAAACTTGGCTTGTCTTAGGGGTAGGCATCCTTCTTGTTGCCTTTCCTGCAGCGCATGGATTTATCTTAAGCCACCTTTACGTTCCCGTTTTCTTGATGCTTATTGGGCTTATTTTTAGAG